AATATTATACCCGCTCTATCGAAGTACATGCTTGCATAAATGAATAAGTTCACTGTCCTCCACGCCAACGTACAGGTTGGGGCTTACTTCCAAGACACAAAATTCTCACACGAAACGAAGAGTAATCGACATATACTAAACTTTCCTAGATAAACTACATTAAGAACAGAACCTATTGACAAAAACTTTTCTAACGCATGAATATAAAAACCCATTATCGGTAAGAAATGTCTTATTAATGTCTTCTTATGAAAGCATTATAATAGAAGCGTTATTCGTTGATTATAGTAGTTGTAGGACTTGATTGTTATCCGACTAATTATATAGATAGTGACTTACTTTCAAAATTTGTTACGCACACTAATAGCTACTTCATTTTTGGTGACCTGACTAGTAAAACTATGACCTTTGGATTTCCGCCAGTAAGTGAATGACTGTAATTACGAATAAATATTTGATTTTTTTTTTTTTGTTCACTGTTGTTTGCGTGTTTCTTTCCTTTACAGTCTGGGTTCGAAATTATTCACAATAGTACATTTACAAAATCTGCGTTTTGCGGATACTTTGAAATTTTACTTCTAAACATCAGTGAAGCTGACTACCACACTTACCCGTCAGGAAACATAGGATACCACGGTATGTCAGCGGTAAGTTTGTGACTTACAATACTAATAGCTCATTATGTAGCTTTGCGTTAAAAACCCAACAACAACATCATCAGGGACGGGCGTGGCCTAGTAGTTAATGGGTCTGGACTGTGTAGCCGAGAGTTCGTGATTCGCGACCTGTTACTCTAAAAACACGTTCCACACTTTGGGGCTGTGGGTGCATTATTCGATCAGACAAGAGTAGTCCAAAAGCTGTCGTTTTTTGTTATTGTTGTTGTTGTTTATTCCTGTAAACTCCCAGTGGAGCATAGGGCCGCAACAACACCTCGCCAACGGAAGGTGTTGTTGCAGTTACTTGTAGCAGGTTGGTTTTTACGGTGTGGAGTTGCTAGCCCCGAGCCCAACCCCCCTTCTCATCCTGGACTTGGGACCAGGCAAAGGCGGAGGTTGGCATGTTTGGTATGACGGGGATTCGAACCCGCGACCCTCAGATTACGAGTCGAGCGCCCTAACCACCTGGCCATGCCGGGCCTAAAAGCTGTCGTTAGGTGCTGTTAACTAGCTGCCCTTCCCTTTAGACTATCAGTTTAAAATTACGGATGGCTATGCAAGATAGCCTTTGTTGGACTAAATTCTCAAGCAAACAAACTCTACTGCATATTAAACAGTTATAAAAAACAAATTAACACAGTAAATCACAGAGATATGTGATTAATGACAAACCTTTAATACATATTAGAGTGTACGGAGGTTATTTCAGAAATACATACATGTGGCGCTCCAAGGTGAAATTTCGCATCAGTGGGTAAGTTTGTTAACCGCCAAACAGGAGGTTCAAGAGCAGTTGTTATTCATAGTGTGACTCGGCCAAGAAATGATAGAAGTCAGAAGAGCGAACCCAGTCAGCAACTCGAGAGGTCCCTGCTGTGGTTCAACTCCCTGACTCGGAGGTCGGATTGTTATTCCTGCAGGGCCTGGCAAAGTGCTGAGGAGCACTCCATATCCAGGAGATAATTTATCCCGGCCCATTTGCAAGTCTTCCAATGTCAACTTCACTCCAGTGGGCATGTCTTCCTCCTGAACATAAATCCTTCATCTTGAGAAACGCTTTCCCATTCTAACTAAGCTCAAATCTTAAAGTCAACAAGAAAGTAAGAAACAGAAAAACACGTTAAACTTGTATTCATCAATAATAAATACTGGTCACTGACATCAAAAGGTTAATTTAATAACTTAGTCTGTGACAGTTTAAGGTAAAACTTAAGGCTAAGAAAATAAGAGATTCGCGCGAGATTACGATAGCCCATTGTGTAACTTTGCGCTTAACAATAAGCAAACAAACAAACGTTTATCGGTAAACAATTCAAACTTTTTTATTGAGATTATCAACAGCTTCCTTTTAAAAAACACTCTGCGTTTTTAGATGATATTTAAAATGTTTTAATTGTGTTCTGATAAACTTTGAACTTTATTTATTGATTTGATTCCATAAATTATTAACAACTGTTAACATTAGGAAACAATTTCGGTTACTTTTTGTTTTTAATATAAGCGTAATATATTTTTATGAATATTACTTTGATATTTATATATATTTCAAACTGTGTAATCTATTTAACCATTTAATGTTTGGAGAAAATCTTGGGTGAATAAAATCAAATCACTGATATATGTATGTATAAGTAACAAATTATAATTTATTCATATATTTTGGGTTGTTTTGATAAATATTATAATAAACCAAAATATATATATAATACGTACACATATGTGAAGCTCCCCCCCCCCCGCCCCCAGTGACTAAGCAATAAGTCTGCGGACTTCTAAAGCTAAAAATTGGGTTTTGATACTTGTGGTGGGCATAGCACAGATAATGCATTGTGTATTTTTGTACAAAACAAGAGAGAAAGAAAGAAACACATATGTGGACACCAGGAACTCTCGTAAGGTAAAACTTAAAACAGCATATTAATACCTGCCCAAATTACTACAAAGACATTTTATGTGAAGAACAGAACTCACACATGCTAAGTGTATGTAGGACATTATTTCCAAATTTACAGAAGTCATGTGGATGCATTTTGACAACCTTGTCCTATGGCATAGTGAAACTCAAGGAAGCAATGTGCTCCAAACACACTTAGATACAACTGACATTTACTGCATTGAAATTTCGTTCTCCTGAGACATCCTGAGTTCTTGAATCTGTGTATATTGCCATCTGTTTGAAATGGCCAGTGGTTCTGTTTGTCATTTCTTATTGTTTGGGGTGCATCTCTAGATTTTAGAAAGCAATACGGACTAGGAAGTCAATAAAACACTCCATTACACCCAAATGCTAATAAGTAAACTAGGAATTGACCACACACAGACTCATCAAATGGAAAAATATATGCATGTACCACTTCCTTGTGCGACATTTTGTCCACTGCAAGATCAACAACGTGTTGGCCTTATCAACGCCGCTCATACATTTGTTGTATGACTCCATTATAGCAGGGTAGGCAACATTTATGACTTTCTTCTCTTTCTTGTTATATCGGTTACAAGATCCAACTCCATCTTTTCATATAAAAATAGGACCCTGTTAGGACTCTTCAATTTTCCAGCCATGCACATAAAACAACGTTCTTGTTACTATCAACATTCAGGTTTATCGCACCACCACCAGATTTTCAAGTCTTTCTCCTTAGGTACTGGTTAGCCTCGTGTATGTATTTATTTTATTTATTTATTTTCTTTTGCACTGTTGAAACAGCATATATTCCCTTTTCACGAATATTTACTAAGGGTTTGGAGTATGAAAAAATTATCAAAAACACTTTAAGACAATTCGGTCTAAGTTCATCTCAAAACTACACACCCATACTCCTTAGTGGTCGCAGAAAGAGTTACATTACACGTTCAGATAGGCCTTTTGTGTCGCTGTGACAAGATCATAAATGTAACCTGAAATGCCAGCATTGCACCACAATTTGAAGTTTCATTTGAAATTTTTTTAGCATGTTTTGTTTGAGCCCATGTCGCCCCTTGAATAACACCATCATATCATCATTTGCTTAATATATTTCTTTTCAATTTTTTTTCGTAAGTTATAAGTTATGGGTCTGGTATATCCTGCTTCGCCTTATCATTTCTGGAAAGTATTATCATTGGAATTAATAATTCTCAAAATCCATCTAAACCTATTACGAAACATTCTGTCAGCAACAGTTGCAGTGATCCAATACATACATCTTTGGAGGAATTTAACAGTCTCCATGTATAATAAAACCCCCAGAGCCTGCAAGAGTTGTTTCTTGGAGATCTCTGGTAAAGGCCTATAACTCTGCTCTTGACTGCGCCAGCTATTATACACGTGGTTTGAAATAAAATTCCATCCACAACGTTACTGTCAAACAGTAATCTAAAAACTGATATAGATTGCTTGTAACCATGATACTGTCTGTCTTCTCTAAATTTGCATTTAGCTTCAGATTTTTTACTATAATCTGAGATTTGTTTGGTACTGTCCATCGCTTTCCTGTTAATTAACACAACACAGATAGCCCGTTGTTTAGCTTTGTGCTTAATTACAAACAAGTAAACTAAAGTACTGGCAACAGCTATTGGAGGTTGTTGTATTATATTATCTTCACTTGTTGCATTATCTTTGTTGTTATGTGAATTACTATCATCTCAATTGTAAGTAAGATATAGAGGCGAGTGATTTTCGTCAGTACCAGAATCAATGACGTATTCATCCTCAGTTTCAACATCAAGAATTCTAGATGTGCGAACGTTCTCGTCGAGCACCATCATAGATATATCTATAAAAAAGATAAACTTAGTAATAACATCTGAAAACACATTAGAATATTTTAGATATGATTTTACTTAATTGTCTTTATTATAGACAGTTTTTCTTAAATGCTTTTATCTTACGTGTCTAATGCACACTAAACTGGCGAGCAATTTTGAACTCAATACTCAGTTTCATTCAAGGAAAGACAACCACTTATTTACCAACTGTTATATTCTCTAATACACATATTTTTATTATCTCGCCATATAAAAAAAAACAGTATGTGATACAAGGTCTTATAATTTAACAAATATTTGGGGAAACTAACTTTGCACTAAAACTGACGACTGTAATTTTCCTTCCTTGCTAAGGTTCTTTCTGTCATCTGGTCTGGTGGGTAATTATTATTGCACTACAAATATGAAGTGTACGAAAGGCATTTATGGTAAATATTTTGAAAATTCATTTATAAATTAAGAAAATTCAATAGAAAAATTATGTTCATAAATGTTACACGTAGGCATGAAAGGTTTAAATTTACTTTCAAAAATAATTGTTCAAGAAACAAATGATTCTGAATTTGTAAAACTTTTCTGTTTATTTTACAGCAAAACAGTAAACAAAGATGGCGTGTCTGTTCTCTTACGAATGATGTCCATGAGGAAAACAGGTAAGGTAGTTCAACTTTTACTTTTATCATTACTTCTCCAGTCCAAGTTTACTGTTCATAAGAAGATAAAAATACGTTTGTGATCTACAGAAATTGTAGTCATGCACGTAAATATGACTGAATAACAAAAATAATGTATAGGATAATACTAATATAGTAATACTGGCTGAGTTATCCGGCGTTGCACGGTGAAAATTTAGATTTGAAATTTATAGATCAGTATTTTTTTTCAGCAAATTATTCAGTTAGTAGACAAAAGCTGTGATGCGAGAAATAAAAAAGCATTTAATCAAACAACCCTTTATTTGAAATTAGATCGTGTTTGAGTTTCTCTTGTTCTTTGAGCCTGATGTTGTACATCATGTTGCTCCTCTGTTTCTTGCTCTCTGTAAGTTATTTGTCTTAATCTTTGTGCTTGAAGTCTGGTTTGACGCTGGTCAGAAGTTTCTTGTCTATATCCAGCTTTCCTTGATGATTCTGACGGAACTCTGGCTTTGTGCTGTTCAACAGTTTCTTGCTATCTTTGAGTAGCCTGCCATTCAGCTTGAGCTTGAAGTCTAACTTTACGTTGTTCCAAAGTCTCTTCCTGTATTTGAGCAGCCTGTCTTGCAGCATGTACTTGAAGTCTTTGATTGTGTTCTTCTTCTGTTTCAGCTGCTCTTTGTGCTTGCATTCTTTTAGCAGCAGAAGACTTTCCATAGAAAGGACGTTTCTTGGGTGGCATAATTACTTGTATCACTAAACAATAAATTGCAATTCACAAAGTTACTAAATCACTTAGCACTATTTAAAGAAAACTGTTTTTGAAAATACTGAATTGACAGCTAGGTGATCTGAGTGTCTCCCGCCATAACGCTTTCTACGTGCAAAACGGGCTTATGTTTGTATGTTTATTACAAAAAATGGCGTAATAATCATTAATTGTCAATTTCATCATTAAATACTACACCAAATACAAAATAAATAGAACCATTAAATTTCTTGTAAAAACTGATTA